AGTATAACATGTGGTAAATACAGACAGTGCTCTGCCCTTAGTAAGCTTGCAATCTAATGGAGTGCCCAGACCTCAAAGAAATAATTATGCTGGAATTTAAGTTCAACTCTGAAACATGTGAAAACACAAAAATATAGGAGGATATAAGAGAATAAATTAAGGTTAACTTAACTTTAAAGGGATTAAGAGGGTCAAATAAAGTTTCTCTCTGGAGAAGAAATATGTATACTAATATATTAAGGGTCATTGGGAGTTAGCCAAAGGCGGAGTTGAAGGAAGAGAATTTCAGAGAGAGGACATATCATGTGCAGAGGACTTGGAGGAGGAGGAGAAAATAGCGGCTTTCAATGAGATAGTGAAGGCCAGTGTGTTAGGAGCCTGAAAATTGAGAGATGAAGTTTGGTTTGCAGAAGAACAGCCCCCATAAGAAGCCTATGCTCTAATCTCCAGCACCTGTGGCCATGCTAACTTTTTGGCAAAGAAACACCACGCGTGTGACTAAGTGAAGATCAATGCTGGAATGAGGAGGTTATCTTGGACTATCCAGGCAGGCTCTATGGAATCACAGAGTCCTTATGCAAGGCAGGAGAGGCAGAGCAAGAGAAGATGTGACACTGGAAGCAACAGAGATCGGAAATACATGATTACTGACTGAAGGCCACACAGCAGTAAATATGGGGCCTCTAGAAACCGAAAAAGGCCTGGTAATGAATTCTCCTCTGAGCCTCCAGAAAGAACACAGCCCTTCCAATCTTGATTTTAGCTTTGAGTCCCATTTCAGATGTCTGGGTTCTAGAGCTATACGTTAATAAATGTGTGTTAAGGCACTAGATTTCTGGTTATTTTTATAACAGTCCTAGGAAACTAATAAACATGGTTATGAGCTAAGGATACAGTGTGGGAAGAGTAATAAGGATGTGGATCTATCCATAGAGCCCAAAGAATCTTTTGACAGGTTTAAAGCAGGGATGACCATAATCAGAGGTCTTATCAAAAAGGTCACTTTGGAAGCTGGACACAGTGGGTCACACCTGTAATCCCAGTGATTTGGGAGGCCAAGGCAGGGGAATCACTTGAGGCCAGCAGTTCAAGACCAGTCTGGGCAATGTAGCAAGACTCCTTCTCTACAAAACATTTAAAAATTAACTGGGGATGGTGGCTTACGCTTGTAATCTCAGTTACTCGGAAGGCTGAGGTGAGAGGATCACTTGAGCCTGGGAGGCCGAAGCTGCTGTGAGCTAGGATCGTACCACTGTACTCCAACCTGGATGACAGAGCATGCCCCTGTCTCCCTCCCATAAAAAAGAAATTCTAGAATGGATATAACATGTAGTAGAAGAGCATAAGAGTGGATGACTGGATTCTGAGAAACCCTTTACAAAGGCATCAAGGCGGTCCATGCCAGAAGTGATGGTAACTTGGTATGGCAGTGGTGTGAACGTGGTGATACACAGAGGGGATTATAGTTGAGAGCTATTTTAGTGCTATACTTAACTGAATTTGAAAACCTAATATGGGGAGTAATGGAGAAGGAGGTGTTATGTCTGGCTTTTAGTTTTCTGGCTTAAGCAAATAGGTGAATGGAAAAAGAAAAGAAAAAAGATAAAAATGTGGAAGCAGTTTGGATAATTAATAAATAAAAGGTGGCTAGAAGTGCTATTTTTGGAAAGAGAGAAAGGTATTCAGAGCAAGGTCTGGGTGAGAGGCTTAGTGGAGATGGTGAGATGAACTCTCTTAATTTTGACAGAAATGTGAGCTAGTCTAGGAAAACAATGTTCATCAGGAACCTAGATGAATGGATCTGGATGTCAGAAGATGCATCAAGTCTGAAGTATGCATTTGGAATATCTTGGAAAACAGATGGCCTTTGAAACCATGGAAGTAGGTAGCAACACCTAAGGGGGGAATATAGAGTGAGAAGAAAATAATCCCCAAATTGAGGAAACCAACATTTATTTATTTTATTTTATTTACTTGTTTTTGACATGGAGTCTCACTCTGTCACCCAGGCTGCAGTGTAATGGCGTGATCTCGGCTCACTGCAACCTCTGCCTCTGGGTTTCAAGCAATTCTCATGTCTTAGCCACCCAAGAATCTGGGATTACAGGCACTTGCCATCACACCCAACTAATTTTTGTATTTTCAGTAGAGATGGGGTTTCACCATGTTGTCCAGGCTGGTCTCGAACTCTAGACCTCAAGTGATCCATTTGCCTCAGCCTCCCAAAGTGCTGGGATTATAGGCATAAGTCATTGCACCCCGCCTTGAGGACACCAAAATTTAAGCTCATGTAGAACTAGGGTAGGTGCGTTGTAGCCCATTGACCAAATCCAGACTGCTGTCTAGTTTAGAAATAAAGATTTACTGGAAGACAGCATCATTCACTTGTTTACATATTATCTATGGCTGCTTTTGCCCTACGGTGGAAGAATCAAGTAGTTCCCATAGAAATCTTATGGGGCACAAAGCTTAAAATATTTACTATCTGATTTTTTAAAGAAAAATCTGTTGACTACTGATACAGATGAGGAATAAAAGAAAATCTAAGAATGCTCAGATAACAAAATAAAACTCTGCTATTTTATTGGTCTTTATTTTGAATTGCTCATTTCTCATTCCATTATTCTAAACATGCTTTTTAGATATGAATATTATTTGTCACTTTATTGTAATTATTTTATTACATGTCTCTTTTCAATTGATCATGAACTACTTAGGGCAGAGCTTCCACTTTGTTTCCATGCGCATCCACAGCAAGGGTCCCCAACCGGTCCATGGCCTGTTAGGATCTGGACTGCACATCAGGAAGTGAGCCACAGTTGAGCAAGTGAAGCCTCATCTGTATTTACAGCTACTCCCCATTGCTCATATTAGTGCCTGAGCTCCACCTCCTGTTAGATCAGCCAGCAGTGACACTAGATTCTCATAGGAGCAAAAACCCTCTTGTGAACTGTGCCTGTGAGGGATCTGGGTTGCATGCTTCTTATGAGAATCTCATGCCTGATGATCTGTCACTGTCTCCCATCACCCCTAGATGGGACTGTCTGGTTGCAGGAAAACAAGCTCAGGGTTCCCACTGATTCTATATTACGGTGAGCTGTATAATTATTTCATTATATATTACAATGTAATAATAATAGAAAGTACAAGACAGATGTAATGTAATGTGCTTGAATCATCCCGAAACCATCCCCTGCCCCCAGTCCATGGAAATACTGTCTTCCATGAAATAGATCCCTGGTGCCAAAACATTTGGGGACCTCTGAGCCACAGGACCTAACAGCACCCACAGCACATAGTAAGTGCTTTGCTTATTGAGTGAATTCACAGAGTAAGGTCAGTCAGTCCATCATTTATTCAAGGATTTTTGGAAAGCTGAAAAAAGCATGCCTTGACTAATGACAGAATAAAATTTAATAGGACTCATAAACAGTTCTGGTAAAATAAGATAAAGTTTTCAGCCAGTACTAACAATTTCTTATTTATTTTTTTAATAATAAAAAAAGATTACACAGACATCCCTCATTATTATGCATTTGGTTTTCTCTTGAAAGTCTGCCTTCTGGCAAGAAGAATTCAAGTTTTTGGAAAACTTTCAAACCCTGAAGGGAGGATTTGGACATTTTTCACAGGAAAACAATTTTTGGAGAAAACAATTTTTCACAGGAGAAACAATTTTGGAGAAAGATTTTTTTAAGGTGAAAAATCATGCAGAAGTAGAATAATATTTTGCATGTTATATTTATAATTAATATTTTTATCAGAAAATGTGTAAATCTAGAACTCAAAATATAACTGTGTGTGAATTAGGATTCAGCAGAAGTAACTTGTCCTGCTTAAAATTTGAAATGACACATATATTTATGTTTTATATAGGTGTATCTAGTTGAAGTCAACATGTAACACATTTTTTTTGGAAATTATTTACTTTCTATATTTTTCTCCTCTTTAAAAAAAAAGAAACCCCTTAGCTATTAATACAATCCTTCAACTACAAGATTCTATAATGCTGAGGTCCTCAATGGCAGAGAATGTATTTAAGCTTCAAATTTCCACTGTCTTAAGTGCTATGCAGCTGTGGAAGGGTGCTTGAACCCGTTTGTACCTTGGTTTCCTCATTTATAAGCTGAAGATCATATCATACACACCAGTAAATCTCTGGTAATCTCTGTAAGGCTGAAATGAGTTATTGCATGTAAAAGTGCTCAGAATAGTACATGGCACAGAGCAAATGCTTAATAAATTTAGTTAGTATTAGTAGTATTTTGGCTTAGTGTTGAGGTTCAAGAATTGGATTTGAAATTAAGTTATGGTTGACATATTGGGAGAGTTGGGGTGTGTATCAGGATAAAGCTCATACTAAAAATTCTAATTTTACCAATTCCTAATTTTAGTAGCAAAGCATAAAAGATTAAATCCTGCTCATAGAAGCATCCTGTGCAAATTTTAGTAGCAAAGCATAATAAAAGATTAAATCATGCTCATAGAAGCATCCTGTGCAGGTGCTTCTGATTCAGAGATCTTTTCCTCCATGCATTTAACTTTGTTCCTAGCCTAAGTAAATGCTCAGTGAAAACTGATTTTAAACGGTACAAAAGTTAGTATTTCCATCTAACATCTACACAATTTCACAGACAATGTTGGTATAGTGGATGTTATAATGGGGTTCACAGATCCTGATTCAGAAATAAAGAACTTCATAAACCAGGTGCCAGGAGAACTTCCAGCAGATAACCCTGTATTATCAGCCTCCCATGAGGACTGTCTCACTTGAAGAGGCTATTTGCTCAAGGTTACAGCCTTTCTGGGGTGGCCAGTATTCAATGACTGATTGAAACAGGGGAGTAAAGACCTGGCCTTCTTACTCCAACACAGAACAGCCCTGGAGGGTGGTCCCATCTGCAGAACTCCCCACACAGCTGGGTAAGGTGTCCCTCGAGACTGAATCTTTCCTTGACTTCTCTCTCTTCAATTCTTCATCTTTCCCTTATCTTCCACAGATGCTAACTCCAAGAGGACCTCCTAATAACCTTTCCTCATGCAGATCTCCATGTGAGTCAACTTTCTGAAGAATCCCACCTGTGACAGGTTGTAAGAAAATGAACTGAACCGTTTTGAGGCTTTGTGAGTCTACGTGTGCCTTGGGCAACAAGTTTCAGGCAAAAGCATTTTTTTTCTATTCTGCAATATTCACCCATTATAAAAAAAGAAATCTTGCAATAGCTTTCAGATATTACACCTTTTTATGGTAGGGTTTGATCTCGGCTCCCTTTTCCCTTATAGAAAATCATGGAGAACACCTTGCCACTTTTCCAATACACTCTAAATTCTCAATAGTTGGACACTTGGTTTTTTCCATCTTGGAAACCACACTACATTTTATAGAGCCTTGTACACAGCGGATGGATGATGAATAAGTTGGTGACTGACTGTATTAGTGAAGTAAAGAACAAATGAATATAAGGATCTGGCTCATGCAGCAGTTTTTTTACCCTGAATGAATTTTTCAAGGTATAAAATTATGCAGAGACACTGAAATTAAAATTCTAAAATAATAATAGTCTGGAGGCTCTCCTGCACAAAAGAAATCTTTAGCTATCGGAAGTTAGCAAAATTTTAGAAAAGAAATTGTAAAAAAGGAGAATTGGCAGCAATGTTGAACTTCTGAAAGCAAGATCATGTAATATACAAGCACTTAAGCAAGCAATTATGCCAAATCTCAAAAGGCTGTTTTGATGTGCTACTTGAGAGTACTATTTCATGTTGACCTTTGTGTTAGAAGATGTGACTGTGTGCAGCTGTGCATTTAAAGAAGATGAATGTTAAGTGGAAGGCCAGTGAAATGTTGAGTAGTTCCTATAGGGCTTGTCTTTGGACTTCCATTGCTGAGTGCTGTTACCTTAGTTTGGATTGAGAGCCTCTGGTATTGTGTGACTTCCAAAAACCCCGGCAAACATCAGCCATGTTCATTCTCCACCAGGAAATCAATATCATAGTTTGAAACTAGAAATTCAACCAATTATTTACACTAATTAGAGTCCTTAGATGCCACATTACCCGCAGAATGAAGTTGAAACTTTTTAGTGTGGTGTAAGATACAGCACAATTTGACCCATTTCTAGTTTATTGCCTTCCACCTCAACTCCTCCCACTTTGGGCTCCAATGATACAAAATCTTTTACATTTTCTATATGTTTCCACTTGGCCAAAATTGATTCCCCTTTATTGTGGTTAGTTTTCCTAATTCACCTTTTCTCCATGCATTTAACTTAGTGACTAGCCTAAGCAGTCCTTTGGATAGTTGAGCCATTCATCCCCCATTTTATGTGCTTTCCTGGAGATTGTCAGTTGCAATACCTTGCTTGCCCTCCACCAAGATAAGTGTGGGACATGAGTAGGCCACACAGTAGAATTTGAGGTGGGCAGATAAAGACCAGTGGAGGTTGTTTTTGAAAACTGGTGCATGGTTGTTGGGAAACAGAAAATCTTTCTTTGTTCTAGCCTGTCAATCATTAGGACCTAGGCATAGAATTATAAATCATAATTTCCACCAGCTGAAGTGATTCTGCCTCAGAAAAAAGTTAAAATGTCAAGAGAAAAGCTGAGGAAGAGTGGAGAGGGAGCAGGGAAAAATAAGAACAAAGGAAGAGAGGGGAGGTAGGGATGGAAGTAGGGGGAGAGTGGGGAAGTCCCTCACAGCATTGCATAAGTCCCTGGATTTCACCATGCCTAAAGTGAGATTCTCCTTCAGATATGCTTTAAAATAATTCAATAAATCATCTGTTGACCTTAATCTGGTTAAGTGTTATTTTTGCCACTACAACCTGAATAAGGTCTAATATTTTCTACAATATTATCTCAAAAACTTGTATAATTGACTTGGTCTGCTTAGAATGTTTTCTAGTCTTTGGCTATTTGGCTAATGTGTATCCATTCTTTAAAACCCATGTTTTAATCCTTGGGTATATACCCAGTAATGGGATTGCTGGGTCAAATGGTATTTCTGGTTCTAGATCCCTGAGGAATCGGCACACTTCTTCTACAATGGTTGAACAATTTACACTCCCACCAACAGTTTAAAAGCATTCCTCTTTCTCCACATCCTCTTCAGCATCTGTTGTTTCCTGACTTTTTAATTATCGCCATTCTAACTGGTGTGAGATAGTATCTCATTGTGGTTTTGATTTGCATTTCTCTAATGACTAGTGATGATTAACTTTTCCTCCTATGTTTGTTGGCCGCATAAATGTTTTCTTTTGAGAAGTGTCTGTTCATATACTTTGCCCACTTTTTGATGGGATTTTTCTTTTTTCTTGTAAATTTGTTTAAGTTCTTTGTAGATTCTGGATATTAGCCCTTTGTCAGATGGAGAGATGGCAAAAATTTTCTACCATTCTGTAGGTTGCCTGTATAAATCATTCTGCTATAAAGACACATGCACACGTATGTTTATTGTGGCACTGTTCACAATAGCAAAGACTTGGAACCAACCCAAATGCCCATCAATGATAGGGTGGATACAGAAAATATGGCACATATACACCATAAAATACTATGCAGCCATAAAAAAGGATGCATTCATGTCCTTTTCAGGGACATTGAAAAGGACATTCTCAGCAACCTAACATAAGAAGAGAAAATGAAACACCACATACTCTCACTCATAAGTGGGAGTTGAACAATCATAACACATGGACACAGGGATAGGAACATCACACATTGGGGCCTGTCTGGGGGTGGGAGTCTAGGGTAGGGATAACATTAGGATAAATACCTAATGTAGATGATGGGTTGATGGGTGCAGCAAATCACCATAGCACGTGTATACCTATGTAACAAACCTGCACATTCTGCATATGTATCCCAGAACTTAAAGTATTATAAAAAAATCCCAAGGTAAATGTCAACATATCTAAGAAAGCCATTTCTTTCCCTTTCTTACCTCCATTGAAGCCAGGAGTGCATCATTCCTTCCTCAGAGCTACGAGTATCTCATGATTACTATTTTACTGGCCACATTAGTTGGTGATATAGTTGCAGATTTGTCAGCTTATCCTATTTCATTAGAAGGGCTTTTCAAGTAAGAGTTTGACATTTTTCCATCCTATCATTTTTTAAAAAATTTTTTACAGTGTGGCTGAAATAAAGTATTCACTAAATGCTCACTAATTTAAAATTCGGATTCTATTAAGTTGTGCATTCATTTATACTTTATTAGTTACCTAACATAGGCAAAGGTACATGCTAAGCATTATGTGTATATCATGAAAATAAGTTTTTGGTTATGAGTACTGCTATTTTATCCACTTAAAAATAATAATACTGACAGCCAGAGGGTTAAGGTCACACAAATAGAAGGTGGCAGAATCAGGACTCAAACTCAAAGTGTCTGATGCCAGATCCTGGCTCTTAATATGCTACTGTGTATTTTGTATGAGCAGAAGCTCTCAAAATTAATTGAGGGCAACTAGCACACAAGCAAACTACCTCAGTAACAAGTGACATGTGCTTTGCTAGGCCAGGAAAGAGAGTGACGCTCTGTCAGAGTTTGTGGGTGTATACTTATTTTCTATTGCTTCATAATAGATTATCACAAATGTAACAGCTCAAATCCACACCATTTATTATCTTAGAGTTCTACGGGTCAGAGGTCTAGGCAGATCTCAACTGTGTTCTCCCTTCAGGGGCAGGCACTCAAGGTGTTAGATGGGCTACATTCTATCTGGAGGTTCTGGGGAAGAGCCTGATTACCAGCTCATTCTGTCGTTGGAAGAATACAGTTCCCTGCAGCTGTAGGACTGAGGTCCAAGTCTTCTTGCTAACTTTTGGTTGAAAGTCACCGTCAGTTCCTAGAGTCCACCTATCTTTTCCTACTACACAGATACAACCATCATCAAAGCCAGCAATGGAGAATCTCCCTTTTGTCCAATTCTTCTCATATTTAAACTATCTTTCCAGGAAGATTCTAATATATCTTCGAAGGGGTCGCCTGATTAGGTTAAGTTCACCAAGGATAACTGCCTTCCCTTGAGGGAGAATCTGGGACCGTAATGACACCTGCAAAATTCCTTTGCAGCAGCACCTGCATTAGTACCTGATTGAATAACTGGGAGAAAATGAACACACACCAAAAACCAGGAATCTTGGGGATCATCTTACAATTCTGCCTCTGTGGGGCAATATATTCATTTTATGAGAATCAAATTTCTATTTACCTATTGAAATCTTTCTTCCCAAGCATCTCTCTTGTGCCTCATTATCCCTCCCTGACAGGAGCTACAATTTCTCTTAATGCTGGATGGAGGGATCCAGATGTCGTAAATGCAAACCTTTCCTGCCATCAGAGTCGGCCGTCAGACAATACCAGAAATCAGTGTTTCCTTCTGAGTGGTAGACAAGAGTACATAATGAAGTGACCAGATTTTGATGTTCTGAAATACGGTTCACAAATATAATAAATGAAAGAAATATGGGTGTCTAGCCTTGGGAAGAAAGGCTGCATGGAGACATCTCAGAAAAATTGAAAGGCAAGAAAACCAATCACAGAAGAATTTGTTTCCTCACACCTGCATTCTATTGGTGCGTGGTCTTCTTCCCACAAGAAGGAACACCCTTCCTAAACTTACGAAAGTAAAATAGAAAGTGCAAAATTGTGTTACATCACCTTTATTGCCATTCATCCTAGTATAGCTCTGAAACTGAGTTTTTCTCTTCACAAAGAATAGCGCTAATGGGTGTCTATTTCTCCCATTCACAGGAAGCAAATCTTTTCTTCAATCTATCATTAAAGAAAAAATCCAGGGATATTCCCAACATATTTATTTCATGCTATATTTACAACATTAATGGGTAAGTCAAATAAAATGGAGTTCGTAAATGGTAATTAATAAATTTAATCACTTTGAACTATTACATCAGTTTCAGAGGCAAACCAGTCTCTGAGCTTCTCCATTATTTTCACTTATCCTTTTGGTCATTTTCACATTTATATAGCTTTTAAGAGTTAAGCGATCTTGCATTTTTCACACAGCCACCATGGTTTTTCTGACTCTTATTAAACATGAATGGTAGGTGACTTCACAAATATACTGAAAACAACTTCATTTAGCTTAGAATTGATTGTTTGAAAAATCAGATCATACACAGCCACCTGGAAGAAAATACTCACACAGAAATTTCCAAGAAGAAACTAAAACCAACGAAAAATTGATGCTTCCCAATGAGGTAGGAATTCTAATTTAATGTGTATATCTAGATCTGATTCTCTTGGGATCACATGCTAATTTGGTTATATATTTGTTCAATCAATTTAGAGATGTGGATAAATAAAAAGTAGGTTCATTTAATTTGTAAAAGATCAAAGCAATAGATCCTTAGCAGCAATATTACAATTCTACCTTGAACTAGTTACAGTTTCATGAATGAGCTACATTTACATTTTCGTTTGTTTGTTTTTAAGATAC